TATGAGTGAAACTCTTTAGAAGTTTCTTTGTAGTTAAATATGGGAAACGAAAATTGTCACTTGTACAGAACTTTACTTTTGCTCCCAGTTTACATCTACTATTCAGGGAAATTTTTTATCCCAACCACATTCTGCTTGATAGCTAGAGTATTATTAGCATTGAATCTTGGTCATAAAGTGTTGTTCTGTTTTTGTTTTTACATTTACACATTTTCATTAAAATTTCCCATCCTCTTTTAGCCAAAAATTCTTTCCCACATTGCCAGTAACCCATGGCTGTATTCTTCATCAAACTTCCTCTCATTATTCTGTCACATTGTATTCATGACAATACAATGTGAATATTTTATATTGTACTAGCTGCTTCGCTGCCAGCCTTCATCTGGCTTTTAAATGCACCAGAAAAATGGCTGAAGGGAACACCAAACATTAAATTTAAAAACTGCATAGAATTTCACTCTGCAGAACAACTTCATAAAAAAAGTTATTATGTATAACAACAAAATTATAATGAAATAAGCAGTATGCCTTAATACAAATATTAATTATCCTGATAAATAAATTAACCAACTTCCCTTTGCAAAATCTTAAGAACTCAAATGGTATAAAGGAGGTTAAGAACTTTTTTCCAAAAAAAAATCACTCAAAACTTTTCAATATCTTAAAACAGTGAAATGAGCAATAAATAACATAAAAGAATACAAAAAACAAAAATTCTGAAAACAAGTATAATTATTATTTAATCTTATATTTTCAGAGAAAAAAATTACAATAAAATAAAAAAAGCTATATCCCTTACTGCAATATTAATTATTCTATAAAAAAATTAACCACTTTCCGTTGAAGGAAAAAGCATGCAAAACTTTTCAGTATCTTGCAAACAGTGAAATAAGCAAAAATAACATGAAAGCAACTCAAATCATAAATTCCACGCAGAATTTTACTCTCAGAACAACTTTATCAAAAAAAAAAATTCAATATATATTATATATATAAAAAAAATGACAATGAAATATGCCATCTCTTAAAACAGTGACCTAAGAATACGATGAAAACTTGCCAAACCCATATTTCTAAAAGAATAAACTATTCAAAATGATGTGATTTCATCAAAAATCTATCACAACATAAGACAGGAAAATTGTTTGCCAAAATCACATTTTTAAAATGTATGTAAAATGTACTCGGAAGCTTCATTTAAAAAAAAAAATTTTTAAATACAAAATATTATCATTTTCCAAAATTCCTTTGTAAAAGCGTCCCGAGGATGAAGTTTAATGTGTCCAAAAAGAAAGAAAAACTGTACATTTTTAAAATAAACTTTTTAGAAAATCCTGTTGAAAAGGTGTTAAGCTCCCTTTGTTTGTTAAATTCGTATTTATCGGTTTATTTAAACAAAAAAACATTTATTTACTTTGTAAAATAGCTAATGCCTACGTTTCATGACGATTGAAAATGGAGTGTGTAGAGTAAAATCTCGCTTCCTAGCCCATTATGTCTCAAAAAGACGAGATTTTCGTCCAAAACATAAATTAAAAAATTCGATTGAATTTCCCAAAAAAAATTGCTTCAAGGGGCACTGGCTCTTGTCTAGATGAACCTATGTCCCGATATCATAGCCGTGGGTCTTTGCTTTACGCCCAGCGCGAACGAAGACACACCACAGACTACTCTTCTTTTTATTATATTAGAAATTACTTACATATTGTATGATTGTTACTGAACTCAACAGTGCACTATTCTAAGATTTTTTTAAGTTATTTGATAACTATCGACTTGTACCACTACTAAATTAGAATTATATCATGCTTGTTTAAGTCATTTATTTATAATTTTAGCATTATATTATAATGATGAATATTTTCAAAATGTCAAAGATGTAATTGTCTATTGATGCAGATGTTTAGACAGATTATAAAGTTTAAGTATTATTCTTATAGACTTTAAACTTTTGTTTCTGATGAATCTTCTATGATACAGCTGAATAGTTTCAATTTTAAGGCAATAATATATTGCTACAGCATTTTTCATCACATGGCTCTCAGATCATGATTTGAATTTATTATATAACCTTGTATTTATTAAATTGTTTTTAATATTAGGTGAAAAGAAAAATATTTTTACATGAGCTACTAAAAATGTTCCGCTTATGTATTGGTAACTCATTATCGAAGTTTTGGTGAAAATTGTTCTAAATATTGCTTAACATAGCCTAAACAGCCAAAGTTTTATTGTACATGTTTCAAGAATAAAGTAATAATATGATAATAATTGGGTATACAAATGCATATCTGGTTTGATATTTAATTTAAAACTGAATTTTAGTTTAAAATATCATATTTTTGATTGGGTTGGCTACCTTTGAGGAAGATTGCTTTTGATTAATTGCAGAGGGCACATGAAAACTATCAGCCTAGAAATAGAGTTGTCTTCATGGAATGCTCTTTACTCAAAATTAACACAGCTTCACATTATGCATGTGGAAATCCTGAGTAGCAAGTCTTTTGGTTACACAGTTACTTTGCGTGAAAATATGCAAATTTTTTCCAAATAAAGAATTTTTAAGAATTATTGCTTTAATTCAGTCAGATGAAAAGAAATTTTTAGCACCCTATTTCATTACTAAGCATTTTTAAAAAATCATAGCTTTCACCTAGTAAAAAGAATTTTTTTTGGTGAGTGACTAAATTGCAGTTTCAAAAAAATGTTACATTAGACTGATAGTTTATTTCTCCCCCCCCCCCAATAAATACCTAAAATAATCATTAAGGAAATTTTAATCTACACTGACTGCATTTGACATTAAAATGAGAGAAGGTGTAAATGAAAAACAAACAATGTTTTGTTACTGCATAAAAATAATTGTTGTTTTATCATGTGAAAGTTTAATTTATGAAAAAGATGATGTTATATTTACACTTATTTATATATTGTAAAGAGAAGATACTTTTTTATTATTACTTATGATCTAAAATTGTGTATAATATGTAAATAAATTAATATTTAAATTAAGGTTAATAAGTACAATAAAAAAGAAAAGAAGCTAAGGAACACGCTTAAGCACTTATAAATCAAAATTCATTAAAAAAGTAATTTCTGATGTAGATATCAATATAATCTAGTGGTGTGAAAATGGAGATAGGATATCAATATAACCTAGTGATGTGAAAATGGAGGTAGGAGTTAAGACATTAAAGGACTGAGGAATGAAAGGGTAAACAAAGACAGAGGAAAAGCTCCCATCTGGCACATGGGGCTGAGATTAGGGGGATAATGGAGAAACTGGAAAAAAAAAAAACACTCATCCATAGGTGATATGAAGGAAGATAGTGTGAAACACTATTTTGGATGAAAGGACTATGTAAACAGATTTCCTTAGGTACTCAGATACTGTTTCTAGCATTCTCTCTATTCTCATTGATTGCACTTTAACTGTTTCAGTTGTTTCATTGGTGTGCTGGAAAAATGAGTGGTCTTCATTTATGTCATCATTTGAAATGATAGCTTATTGTTTATTCATGGTTTAAATTTAGCAGGAATTTTTTTAACTCTTCTTATGAAATTGTAATTCCAGCTGCAGCCCCAGATAAGATGAGGTTTGGTAAATTATTTGATTTAACAATGAAATGCTGAAACTTCAGCATTTATTCATCATTAATTTATCAAAATTTTTATTTTTGTCTTTACATTGAATTTTAATTTCAATTTAATATTTCAGTTATTAATTATTTTTAGTATTTTAATAGTTACTTTATTTATTTAATTCCCTTTCATGACAGCTTTCTGTAAAGCTCCAGCACTTCCAATTTTAGAAATTAAGCCCTGGAGTAACACTCAGAACACAGCATTAAGACACACTCTCTTCTTGTTTTGAACATATCTGATAAAACAGAGCCAGTCCTCACTTGAAAAATCGTATCCCTAAAAAAATTCTGTGTAAATATTGATAGGTTGCCGCATAAACCACTGACGTAAAGGTCACACAAAATACCTTATCTCCTTGCTTTATCTGCTGTTTTTTCAATATCAAGGAATACAAAGATTAGGTGGTTTCTCTCAACAAAGGCTTTAGAGGTTTTTAAAAGGAGCATATTATTTATTCAATTTACAGAAACCACTCAGATAGTGCAAAATTACTCTGTTTTTTCCCCTCCTTAATTGATTACTATTGAGGCAATTTAACAGTTTTTCAAAAAAAACTTGTAAATGCAAATGCAACTCTTAAATGAGCTAATTCGAGAGATTTTTCGAGTCTTTCTTTGGCTTAGATATGGGTGTAAAAACAGCTTTGGTCCATGCACTGAAGAAAATATGCTTCTTTTACATATGATTGTGAAGTGCGAGAAGGGCAAATGATGAGTGAGAGGAGAGATGCTTCAGCATTTCATAGTTAACACTATCCAGATGCAAGCTAAACCTGTGTGTCTATAATGTACAATAATAACCTAATGATGTAAAAAATGGTTTTCTCATGATTGCCTAAAAGGCACTTCTCAATCGATCAGTAGCTTGTGATCAACAGGTTGGCCAACTCTTGTATTTAGAATTTAACCATTACACATGCAAAAAATAATTTATAAATGAAGTGTTTTAGAATAAATTTTAAATTCTTTATTTTATTTAATATTAAACAGAAACTAGAGGTATGCAATGTATATATAATTGTAAATGGGAACATCAGAAAACATAATCAATTAAATCTTTCTTTAATTATAAGTGAACATTGGTACTCAAAATTATATACTGGTTCTGTCTTTCTGACGTCTTAAAATTGTATGATAAAAGTTTATTTACATTTCATTTCAGCAAAGCATTTATAAGCATGTTGTTCATTTCATAGATGCGCAGTATCTTTACTTCAGGTGTCTTTAAATATTCTGTGTGTAATTTTTTAGCTGCACTTTATTGTAAAATATTTTAATCCCCCTATTTGTCTGTGTGCATCTCTGGCTGTAGTAGTAGAATGTTGTCTTCTTGATTTTATTGCCATCCCTTTAAAGATACATCATGCAGAGCCGGAAACAGCACATATAGAAGATGGTGAAAAAGAGCATCGGCCGCAAAGAAGGAAATCCACTGGTAGCTCCGATTCTGAATCGGATACTGAACTGGCCGAACTGCTGAAGCATGTGGCCCGCAGGACGGCGGAATTTGATCCCGCCGCCGCTGCCGAAATTGCTGGTGGGCAACAGGTGAAACTCCAGCAGACAGTCTTGTTGGTTGTGGGCTGCTTGCTGTTGTTAACACTGTCCATTATTACTTGTGCCTTGTCTAATTACATATGAATGGCTTATAATAAAGGTGCTGAACATAATGCTTTTAAAACGAAACAAATTCTATTCTTCTTACTGAAAACTGAACCCATTATTTACTGCAGTTAGATTAAAAGCAAAATTTTAGATGTAAAAAAATAAAAATGAAATGTAAATCAAATTGATATATATTAACTATAATGATCTGAATGTAGTTGTTTTCATCAAAATAATTAGTTATTTAGGAAAAAATCATTTAGATAATCTTCTTCTCCAAGAGTGGGAAAAATTTTGGTGAGCAATGATTTGGTTTCAGATCTTCCTTGTTTTAAAAAATAGAAAAATTCTTTGAAATTGTGTTCCATATCTTTTGATAAAAGGGGAGAGAACCCTTATCATATAATTCTCAATCTACAAGCATCATTTAAATCTTAGTGTCTTTCAGTAGTACTCATAATATAACAAAACATCTTTCAGTAATACTGATGATACTGCATATCATGTGTTTTTAAAAAATAGATTTAGTTGGATAGTAGATTTAGTTGTTTTCAATAATAGATTTAGTTGAAGAGGGTATTAATAATTTCCAATAAGATTATCCATTTAGATAGAAAAAAAGGTTATTAGTTGACATTGATAATGACCTGAAACATGCAAAATGAAAATGTAGTGTTATGATCCAGGCAAATGGAAAATGTGACAGAGATTTTGATTCTATTTTTCAGATATTTCAGATGATCTCAAATACTTATGATTATAAAAGTTTATTTATTGTTCCAAACATATGCATCTGTTGCTGGTATGTGTTCCAAAAAAATGCAGATAGATAGAATAGAATGGTAGAAAGAAAATTTTAAAAAGAGACTTGAAACTCACTTTTGGCTGAATTTTAAAATGACTTATCAGTAATAATTTTGTTACTGTGTCTGGTTCTTTTTAGAAAGGGTTGTTTGCATGGCATAACTGTATTTTTGTTTTTTCATGTAATTGAGTTAAATACAGAGCCCTTTCACTTTCTCATACTTTATGGTAATTAAATATCTAATGTAACTTGAGGCAGTTTAATATGTTGCTTAGCATGTGACAAAATATTTTTAACCAATGCAGGTATGAATCCTATTATTTCCCAGTAAAAATCCAGTATTAGTTTCCAAATAGAAATATGATAAAAAAAGTATTATAATTGAATAATCTACATTATATAATAGCAGAGCTAATTTTTTATATTGCTAGTGGCTTATTCAAATTGATAATGTGAAATACCTCTCAAACAGAGAATTTTTATTTCATATGTACTTTCCATGATTTCTGGAGTTATTGGTGCATCAGTGTAATCTTTGTGTTTGAGATAATGCCATAGGAAAAACATATTGGCTTTAAGATTAAAAAAACATATTGAGTTAGCTACTATATTGGACCTCCATGTTCTATTTAATGACTACTATAATTTGTATTGTTGCTGTTGCTTATGCTCACGTGTCTGACATAGTTAGCAGCCCAAGCCCATGAAATTCCTCGTGGCAAGGAGTGCTAGATTATTAGATTATGCCTGCCGTTGGCAACAGCCTTGAGTACCATTCAGGTGACAGTGTGATTTAACTTAGTTCCACCCCCAATTTTGATGGAGAGCACTCCGGGGAGGGGGATAGGTCCGAGGGTCTCCCACCGCTCTCCCCTTCCACCAAACCACACAAGAGGACTTTCGACTCGCTGCATATTTAGAGTGCCGCCATGCCACACCAACACTATACATTTACAAACATCCTTGCCTTCTTCGGGATATAAACCCGAACCCTTCAGCACGGAAGTCAGTGACGCTAACCGCCATACCAGTTGGGCGGGATCAACAATCGGTTCATAACAAGCAGGACATCCATCATGATGGAAACACAAATATTTTTCCTTTTTTATAATCTTATAACTTCTAATACAAACAATAAGAATTTAAGCATCATCTTCAGCACTTGAAGTAAATTGTATTTTATAATAGATTTAATTTTAAAAAGTTAGTATTCCTTTTTTACACTTTAAAATCAGTATGTGATGTGCAAAAAAATCGAATTCACACCTAATATAATTTTGTCTATGATATACGATCCACAAAAAAAAAAAAAAAAAAAAAAAAAGTAATATTAAGAAAAATAACATGAAGCTTTCTGGGCACAAGTTCTGATGGCTTAAATACTGCTGCAGAATGGCTAACCTTCCCTAATTCTGCTTTTATATTTGTTCCTTTTCCCTCCTTTGCTGTTTTGGAATGACATTCGTTACACATGCTGAGATTTGAACACTGTTTGTTAATGCAACACATTATGTATTATTATAAAGTAGAAAACATGACTATGTGTTGTATAATAAGTATTTTGTGTATAAAAATTCATTTAAAAATAAATTTAAAATCTTTCTTTTAAACATTTTTCTTACTTGTATTTTAGGCTCAAAACAGTGTTTAATGCTCATATTGACTTTTCAATGAATTCTGTATTTTCCTCTTTTCCCATATGTTCTTTTAATATTTAATGTGTGGAAATTTGTTTTCCAAACCCAATTTGCACCAGTGTGTCACTGCCTCCTATCTGGTTTGCAGGCTCCACTGCTTTTGGATGTTGTACTTCTGTATTATTATATACTAAAATGGTATGCATTTGTAAAATTTATATTGATATTTTTAGGGTGCAAGAGTTGAAGATTTAGTTGAAGAGGGTATTCGATCAGAGCTTTCTGACATTGCTGAGGAACCTGAAGAAGATATGCATTCAGATGTAAGTTTTAATGTTATGTTTTGAGTTTAGTTTCTTCTGAATTATGTCTTATCTGCAGAATATAAAAGACAGATTTACATTGGAAATACAGAAATTTGCAGGTAACAGAGGAGGTTAATTATTGATAGTATACTGAGAGAGTTCTTATATGTGATTATGTTTAAAATGCTTTATATCATATATCAGAATTAGTTAAGAAATAGTAATTATTATGCATAAAGCAGTAAGTGAACATAATTGTATTCTGCAGTTTTTGTTAGTGGATTCAAAATATCACCAAGAAAGCATTAAACTATTAGAAAATTATGAAGTTGTTTTAGCAGCCAAAATATAATAATAAAATGTAGGAATAATGCTATTAAATCTCTAATAATCGACCTTTTCTTTAATATTTTACTATTCAACAAAATTATGATTAATTCAGGGGTGATTGTGGTTCAGATAAAGCTGGAATTCCTGATTTTTTACTTTAATCAAATCTGGAATTTCCAGATTTGAGAAATGTAGACTGTAAAATCAAAATCTTTTTCAAATCTTGTTTTAGAATAAATATATCGTTTCGAGATTATATAAATGTAAAACTTTTAGACTATATAAAGTTCAGTGAGCAATCAAACATCTTATCTGAGCAAACTTGGTTTTTCTTTTGTCTTGCATAAAAAAATTATTTTTGTTGTTTGTCTTCTACATAAACAGAAACAACTGATATAAAGTTTTGGGCTGAAGTATTCACTAAAAGAAGACAACAAACAGGATTGCCCAGTATTGAAAAGCTGATTAAATCTGTTTTAACTTCCATGGATGCGTTGCTAAATGTTTTTATAATTATACATGTCAAAATAAAGAACAGTAATAACTTAGATGCTGCACAGACTGAAATATTATACATTTCCATTATAGAAAACGTATATGAAGCTTTTAGATATAAGAAGTATTAATAAATTTTAGGGGTAATGTATTGTATAACTGGACAGCATACAAAAGTTCTTTATATTTCACAAACCATTCTTTTCGCTCTAACAGTTCCTCATGCGTACTGCAAATTCTAATATTATGCTTAAAGAGATATGGGAAAAGCCATTGTCTTCATCAAAATGTCTTGCTGTTCATACTCAATTTTCAATTGTTAGCAAAGAAAAATATAATTTTGAGATATAATATAATTTAAAATTGTTGAGAAACCAAACAGATGGGTAACTGTGCGAATTGATTTTGTTAAACATAAATCAATTCCTAATAAAACAAGAATAAATGCTATATTTTCTGCTTTGCCAGTGAAATGGTTTTGAAATATATGTGTATTCATGCATGGAAATATTTCACAACAGTATTCAGAATTACAGTAGACTCCCGATTATCCGCGCCTGCCGCACAAAGGTTTTTTTTTTTTTTTTTTTTTTTTTTTTTTTTTCTCCAAGCGTAAAGCAAAGAAAATAAAATTGTTCACAAAACTGAGCGAAACGTTAAATTTGCTAACATCTGGAAATCGAAAGAAGGTTGTGTTGACAATTGCGCAAAAACTAGAATTAATTTCCAAAGTAGCAAACAGTACTACAAGACAGCAGATGGAATTGGATTACGGAATCGCAGAAATAACAGTGTGCAACATTCTAAAGCAAAAAGACAAACTCGTGAACTTTGCATCAATGTCGGACAGTGCTACTGCAATGAAAACGCGAAAAACTATGAAGGATTCTACCTTTGATGAGATAGACACGGCATTGACAGAGTGGTTACCTCAAGTTCGAAAAGAGAGTACTCCTATAAATGGTCCTATCATTGCGACGAAGGCAAAAACCTTTTTTGAGTTGTTAAGCCTTAAAGGAAATTTTGATGTGTCTTCTGGCTTGGTTGACTCGTTTTAAGCAGCGACATGGAATTCCAGAAATTGGACTTCATGGGGAGAAACGTAGTGGTGACCAACAAGCAGCCGATAATTTCCACCATGAATTTGAAGCATTTGTTTTAAAAGAAGACCTATCTTTTGAACAAATTTACAATACCGACGAATCGGGACTTTTGTGGAAATGTCTTCCCACTCGCACTTTAGCATCTGAAAGTAAAAGTAAAGTGGCAGGTCATAAAGAAAGCACTATCATGTCAAGGAAAGGATCACTATCATGTCTTGCAATAACGCTACCGGTGGACATAAACTTAGACTTGTTGTCATTGGAAAGTAAAAAAAACTGAGATCTTTCAAAGGCACAAGGATAGAAAATTTGCTCGTTGATTACTTTAACAAAAAAAAAAAAAAAAAAAAAAAAAAAAAGGTGGATGAACGGAAACATTTTTTCAAGAATGGTTCGAAACAATCTTTGTTCTTTTCTTCATGTGCGTAAACATCGTAAATCGAAAAACCTGCCTGAAAACGCTATGCTATTGATCGATAACGCACCTTCTCACCCAGTAACAAGCATGCTAAAGTCTTCTGATGGACAAATTTTTGCAAAGTTTCTGCTCCCAAACATTAGTGTGCTAATCCAACCCATGGCCCAAGGAGTCATTGCAACAATGAAGAGAACATACCAAACCAAGCTGCTAATGGCCAAAATTGAGGAAGGTTATGATCTGAAAGAGTTTTGGAAACACTACCCAATCTTGGACAACATCTACAATATTGCATCTGCATGGGACTCGGTGAAACCGTCAACCCTCATAAAATCATGGAGAAAACTGATGCCTAATGTTGAAGCCAACAACAACCTAACCCCTTTGAGTTGTGAAGAAGAGAATGAATATGGTGAAACAGTTCCGGGTGGTGAGAACGTCGATGCTGAAAACATTAACGAGTGATTGGTGTGTGACGTCAACGAATCTGTCTTCGAACACTTGACAGATGACGAAATTGTGAAGAAAGCAAGGGAAGAGACCGATAATGAAGGACAGCGAAGTGAAGGCAAAGACGAGCCCACTATGCAGATGCGGAAGACTCACGAAGTGGCTTTGCAACAAGTCGACGGACTGCTGAGCTATTTAGAAGAACAAGACAACGCGGAGTTAGCCGAGAAACTTATGCTACGAAAAATGCAATCTCGGATCAGAGAAAATGCTTCCAAGCAAAAAGCAAACACAAATATGATTGATTTCTTCAAAAGGTGTAGTTTTACAGTTAGCTTTGTAATTACATAGTACATTACAGTATTAAAAACAGTAATATGTATTAATTTTTCTATGTATCCTTGACGCCTTTTGTAAGTACAAAGCACTTTTCTGTTTTCATTAATGCATTTTAGGTTAGTTTTGAGTGATATACTAAAATATTAATCGTTAGTTAAACATTTTCTGCTATTTATTTTTTTACGTTTTATTGTACATAAAACGATTTTTCAAAGTTGGAATGACTGTTTTCTCTTTTGCTATACCCGGTTTTAGCTTTTTTCGGATTATCCGCGATTTTTGCTATTCTCGGCGGCCGCGCCACCCAATTCCGCAGATAATCGGGTGTGTACTGTATTTGAAATAATGCAGGATTTTTACTGCACAGTATTGTTCAGGATTTTTGAAATGGGATCGCATCCCCCATTAATGTTAAAAAGTTACTTGGATTCATTTTTTGTAAGAAACTATTAATTAATTATTTGTTTATGTCACTTTCTTGTGTTAAAAGTACCATTATTAGTTATGTGGTGATCTTCTTTTACCTTCTTAGATACATATAAATTCATGACAGTAAGAGACTATAAAATATTTCTTATGGTAGGTTTTTTTTTTTTAAGTCCAAAGGGGCAATTTGCCCAGAAGGACTATGAATTTCGTTTTGGCATTTTACGTTGATTCATTACAAGCGTTATTTCACTTTTCAAATTGTTGCCACCAAATATTTTCGCCCTGTATTATATTTAAAGAGATTAAATATTGAAAAATCTGCATAGATGTATGTATGTTTCTTGCGTTGTGATAAAATAATGGTACCTATAGCCATCAAAATTTGAATAACGTAATTTCCATAGAATATGGGCATGTGGAAGCCCTAATTTAAATTTGAAACTTCTTTTATTATCGATTTATATTTTGTAAAGCATTTATGAGTTTTTGGTTAAGAAACTCAAAGCGGGCAAGGGCAGCACTGTAGGGGGGGGATCTCTCTTTTTATCTCCTGCAGGCAAGAATTTGTATCAGAAATTCTAAAGATATGGTCATTTTAAAATTATTTTGCGATATTGCTGTTGAACTGAATTTTATGGTTTAAGTGCGAGTTTAAGTTATGGTTTAAGTTTCATTTTTAGCATTTTTTAATCTATCTGGAACTAGTCTCCTTGGCATACATGAAATCAGGAGGACCAATAGTTTCAATGAAAAGTATAGTATTATGTTTAACAGTCTCATTAAGATCAGGAAGCATCGACGATAAAGGATAGTTAGACAGTAATTTATTATGTACAGTATTTGCAATAATTGCTTTTATAGAATACGAATGTGTGTTAATTACACTGCAATTAATTTTTAAATGCGTTTCTAAATCAACAAGCTTTTTGTTCCTTAAATTAGGTAATAAATCAAAATAATGCAAAAAATCAGATCCAATAATAATTGTTGACACTTTACACACATAAAAAGTGAAATTAAAATTGCTACAAAGTCCAAGGTCAATACTTAAAAGACTTTTGTCCATAAACCGGAATAGGAGTACCATAGGCAGCAGAAAACATCATAATAGGTGTCTGACGTGCTTCATCTTTGGTTGCTGAAAGGGGAATGACATCTGAGCCAGTGTCGCTCAAAAATATTTAATTTGACTTTTTGTCTCGAATGAAAAGGCGACGAGACTCGGAGGGTAAAGCGCAAGTCGCCATTATACTTCTCTGGTTCGTTTTCCTGGAACGTACATGGTGGAATTCACTTTTTGGCTTTCTCATTAAAATTATAATGATACCAGCAATAGGAACAATTCGAAGCAGGTTTAGCTGAAGGGCTTCGCTTTCTGTTATAACAGTTTTTGTAACACTGTGTGATCGTCGCAGAGACAAAACCTCATCACGTAATTGGCAGACCTCATACAG